GGGGGGGTGTCTTCTTCCGGTTCCTCACACAAGCCAGTGCCTCAGGGCACTTGCACTTGCTATTCCCTCTGCCATGATGCCCTTTCCCCAACACCCCCATGGCTCCCTTCCTCACTTCCTCCCATTCCTGCTTACACATCATCATCTCCTTAGAGCTACCTTCCCACCCCATGGCTCTGTCTAAAACAGCATCCTGTTACCCAGCTTCATCTTTCTTCACAGTACTTGTCACTCCCTGATGTATTATCTGTTTATTGTCTATCCTTCTAGCAATATAATAAAATGCTAAAAAAAATAAAGTTCTGTACATCTTGTTCTATGCTCTATTCCCCAGTGCCTAGAATAAGAATGGGATGTAGTAGATGCTTGATAAGTATTTGTTCGATGCCAAATAGCACTTCATTCAGCCCACATGAGAAGCCCCATGAGTTGCCCATTTCACGGATGTGGAAATTGAGATTCAGAGAGGTATGGGACCTGTCTGTGGTCACATGAGCTTGTCAGCGTTGGAGCTACGGCTCCAGCCCAAAGAGTCTCTGCCCTCTGCCTCTGTTCTCCATTTCACTGCCCACCTGGAAAAGAATACAGGTGTTTTCGCCCTTCCCTTGCCCCGGGATAGGAAAGACTGACAACCAGTGACTCTAGACCTGGCCCAAGGCAGCATCTTCCTCAAAGGTCCTGCCCACCGGCTCCCCCCGCGGGCACACCCAGCTTTGACCCTGACCACTTTTCCTTGGGACCATCTGCCCCCCGCCCCCAGCCATTCCCCTTCCACTTCCTTTCAGCCACCTCTGGGTCCCAAAATGCCCTCAGAATAATCTGGGGGCTGCTTTTCTTACCTCTATCCCACCAGAGATACAGTGAGAAAGAGACAAAGACACAGAAAGAGAAGCATGGTGGGGGGTGGGGGAGCACGAAACAGAGACACACACATGCAGAGACAACAGAGAAAGACAGAAGAAGATGGGAGAGACGAGAAACCCAGAAAGGAGCTGAGACCTGGAGAGTTCCGGAAGTAATGGCTCCCCTCAAACCCGCAGGCTGGCCCAGGGCCACTGCCAACCCAACTGGCCCTTTGGAGTGAATTAGAGAAAGGCACCCTGGCTGGGTTCCAGAGCCCTCGGGCCTTTGAGCCAAGCGCACTGGTGCAGGGCCCAACCCAAGGGCAGCGACTGGCAGCCCTCCCCTGCTGTGTGCACACGGAGGAGGAGGGCCACTTTCAACGCCACCCGGTCCTCAGGTCTGACCTACAGATGCACCAACAGTGGTCCCTGGAAGCCTCTGAGAAATGCCCGGCTCTCTCCCTGCGGGCTGTGAGCCTGAGCCCAGCCCTCTGCACTCACGCATTGGGCCTTCCCCCACAGTAGGTCCTTGGGCCGTGTCACCCCTGCCTTCGTCACCCATGAGTGTCAAACCGGGCGCAGCCACAGAAACCCGCCGAGGACTCCAAGGGGCTGGGACGAGGCCCTCATCCCTGCACCAGTGCGCAGACCCCCTTCCTGCTCTTCCTGCTCCCACAGGCTACTTCCTGGCCTCCCAGACCTTCCTCTCTGTGGTTTATAGGCAATGCCGGGGGGCACGGCGGGGGGGGGGTATAAGGAGGTGGCATGACCCTCACTCGACAGAAAGAGAGAGAGAAGCAAAGAGGGGAGTGATCACCTCAGAGTCTCCCATCCGAAATCCAGGGTCCTGCCCCCTCCCTCCCCAGCAGCCACATCCCACCCTCCTGGGGGCTGAGGATGAGGTGCTCCTTCCCCAGTGGCCACTTGGCTCACACAGGTAGCCAAGGAGCCTGAGCTGCCAGTGGGGCCCAGACTACCCCAAGCCAATGTGGGGCTGCCTGTGCACCCCACTGGCTGGCCCCACTCAGAGGGCAATGGGGGAGGGCAGAAGCTCTGTCCTGCAGTGCTCTGGGCCCTGGGATTCCTCACTCAAGCCTGGGCATGGCCTGGCACAAGGTCATAGGCTTATTAGGATGGGGGAGAGAGAGCAGGTATCCTCTCCGCGGGGTCCATGGGCAGTGCTACATCTGTGCTGGGGGAGATCAAAGGGCCCAGGTGGAACCAGGGAACCCCCACAGGCCACTGTCTGAGGCCCCCACCCTTCCCAACAGCCAACACTCTGGGAGGAAATAATCAGGGCACAGGTGAGTCATAGTGTCACAAGGCTGCTTCCTGGCTGACTCAGGGGACAGTCAGATGGCCCTTCCACTAGCCCCTAGCCCAGAGCCTGAGTGAAGGATTCCAGGCGAACAACACCTGGTGTCCAAACTGGGCCTGGCCCGCCCTCCCACTGGATCCCCGAAAAGTCAGGTATGAGGGTGCCCCCTTCAGTACAGGCATGGCATTGTGCTCCCCGCCGACTCAAGCCTAACCTTGCTTCTGGGATTTAGAGTTGGGTCTTCTAGATGTCTGGACCTCCCTCTGACCAGGATCCCCTGAGGCACCTGGCACTGAGCATGGCACAGAGGGGCTGTGACCAGGGGCAGCAGGATGGGGCCCTGCCCCCATCCCTGTAGCAGGGGCCCTCCTGCATCACCCCCCAGGGACCCTTTACCTGCCTGCAGCCCAGCCTTCCAAGCAGGTCCCCGTGGCCCCAAGGCCGCTTTCCTGGCTTTGTCCCTGTGCTGGCTGGGCAGGGACTTCCTGCTGGAGAATTCCCGGATCCTCCCCACGAGGTCTCGAGCCTGGCCTGGGAACTTAGGAGGGAGGGAAGTCAGGAATGCTCCTACTAACAGGGTCTGGTCTTGTGGTAGCAGGGGCTTTCCTGGCACTTTGACCCCAGGCCTTCCCCACCCCCAGGTCAGGTGCACCAAACCTCTTGTCCTCCAGCTCAGATGCCCCGCTGTGGCCCCTCTACTGGAACTCGGGCTCTGCCATTGGGGCTGCCACTCTGGGGGCTAGACTGAGGCCCTGGATAACCTGAGCTTGCTCCTAGCTTGAGGCCGAGGGGTGGGGTCCAGAGAGAGCCAAGGAGGCCAAAGTCAAAGTGGGCTTTATTAATAATAGCACAGGTCTGAGTGTGATGAGTGGGGACATTCTGCTGGGCAGGCCCATCCTGCAGACACATGGATACCATTGATCTCAAGACCCCTTGGGCCCAGGGGCGTCTTGGATGTGCCCTCCTGAGAGGGAGGCTAAACCCCTACTCGGGCTGAAGGGATCCGGGAGCAGGGCAGACTCGGGGCCAGCACGAGCTTCACTCTGGAGGCAGTTCCCCATCTCATCCATCTCCTCCAGGAGCAAGTGCTGAGGGCAGAAATGGGTGAAGAAAGAAGCCTCAGCACCTTTGGGCTCTCCCTTCCTGCTCTGTACCCCTAGAAGCGTCCCACCTACCCTACAGAGATAAGCACCCTGAGGCCATTCCAGACCCTTCCCCATGTCCCCACAGCCAGCCTAGTCCACCAACCCTGAGCCACCTCCCTCCTGCTAAATGAGGGACCCTTCTCTCTCCAACTTGGTCGGGGGGGTGGTCCTTGGAAGCCCCAGGAGTCAGGCACCCAAGCCAAGCCCTCCCCTCCCTCACCTCTGTCCTGGACACCACACCAAGGGGGCTCTGCACCCTTCCCTCCAGCCTAGGGTGGTGCTTCAGCTGCCTCAGCGCCCCTTCCCTAGGTCCCCAGCATTTCCCAAAGGCTGGGGGGTGGCTTCCTTCCCCCTCAGCTTGGTGTCCCTGAGGACAGATAAGGAGAGAGTAGGGGGTGGTGATGAGGATAGGACCCTCGAAACACCCACAGCAGGAAGATATTCCTGAGGCAGCTCTGTCCCCCACGTGAGGCCTGAGCTGGGCCCCGACCTGCCACTACCCAGAAACTCTCTAGAGACCCCCAGTGCTGCTCAGGCTGCCCCAGGACTGTGACCCCTACCCCTGGGACAGGGGCAGACTGGCTCAGGGGTGGTTCTGGAGGGGAGAGGGAGGAGAAGAGGGTGGAAGGGTAATGAGAGATCCCTTTAGTGTGAAAAGGCAAAAGCCAGGGCCCCTCCAGAGCTGGGGCCACCCCTGTGGTTTAGGATGCGGTGCACAGCCTTGTTCCCTAGAGCACAGAGGGGCCCAGTGACTCAGGCCTGCGGGCTCAGGACAATGAGAGGGCTGCCCCTCAGTGCCCAGGGGGCAGGCAATTCTGGTATTCACTCCCCCAGAGGGCTAAGTCCCATCCCTAACACTACAGTGCCCTTGACAGCTGGTGGGCATCCCCCTTCTTGTTTGATCCTTCAGTCGCTTCGGCCTTTTGGCTAAGATCAAGTGCTGTCTGATCCTCCCACCAGGCTCCCTTTACAGGTAAAGAAGCCAAGGCCTGCATCCAAAGCCACAGAGCAAATCCAGGCCAGGGCAGGGCTTCAACGAAAGCCTTTGGCCTCTGAACCCTACGCTCTTTCCTTTACTTTCCTACAAAAGGAAACTACATAGACTGTCAGGGCCAAATGTCCACGGAAGGAAAGAATGAGTTGATGAATGAATGCAAAGTAATTTAAAAGGACATCGACACATTTTCCAACAACAGATCCATCCATGTGCGCTAAGGGAAGCTGGGACAGGCCTGACCTTGAAGGCCAATGTCAAGGAGGGTGGGCAGTGGGTGGTCTGTGGAGTGACACAGCCGGGTAGCCTACGAGTGTTTGTGGGAGTAAGTGTGGGCAAGAATGGCAGAGAGAGGAGAAAAAGAGCAACATTATGGGGTCAAGTAAGAGACGGAGAGACGGATGGACAAGTGTGTGCGTGCAAGGGGTCAGGCTCCTACTCTCAGAAATAGCACCACCAAGAAGGGATTCTGCTTTCCCTAGCCAGGCCGTGGGAGGTTGGAGCCAGGGCCAGGGGCCTATGGAGGCAGGAGACCCCACTTTCTCCAGTGCCCTCAGGCAGGGGGTAGTGGTCTGGGATAGGCCGGGGCATACCTGGCCGTCCACAATGCCTGCCTCCTCCAGGGTGATCTCTGGCTGGGTCAGCAGCTCCCGGCCCTCAAGGCTGCCCATCTTCCAGAGGCGGGACTCCCGTTGTACTGCCAGAAGCTTCTTTAACTCCGACTCCACGAAACCTGAGAGTCAGAGAGATGGGCATGGGGCAGGCAGGAGAGGGTAGAGCAACTTGCTGGGGATAGAAGGGAGAAGAGGGGGCTCCGGCTCTCCAGGCCTCATCCCAGCCCTGGGCAGTCCCTGGTCACCCCCAGCCCCGGCCCCTACATTTCCATTACCTGGAGCCGGCCACACACCACCTCCCCACCTCCCTGACTTCCCCAGGAAACTCACTGGCCAGTGGGCTCCCTCCTGCATGCTTGAGTGTGAGTTTCCTCACCTCCTGGGGAGATCACGCAAGGGGCAGACATCGCCCCCCACCTTCCACCAGCCACGGACTCAAGAGCAAGGATCTGGGACTACCCCAGCTGCCAAGGCTCAAGTCGCAGCTCTGCCGCGTACTAGCTGTGTGACCCTGGACAAGTTACTTGACCTCTCTGTGCGCCTCTGCTTCCTCACTATGAGGTAGAGATTATAATAGAGGACCTACCTCAGAGTTGTGATATGGCATTTCATGAAAAATGCTCAGAAGAGGGTCTGGTCCATAGTTATGGCTATGCAAATGTCAACAGGGATCACGTTATGTGATCATGTTATGCTATTACTGTCCTCACTCACCATGTCTGGGCAGCACAGGGGCACCGAACAAGTTAGAAGTCTGGGCTGGGAAAGGGTGATGCTCCTGGAGCGCAAGCCCTAGTCACCATCCCCCCCTCATGCCTCCCAAACCTGGAGAAAGGAGAACTAGCTAGACTTCACCAGCCGAGCCACCCACGGGTCCCCCCTCCCCGCTTCAGTGGTCATCTTAGGTCCTCTGGTCCCATCTGGTGGTAAGAACTGGTATCACACCCATGAGCCGTGGTCAAGGGGAGCCCCCTGGGCCTGAGGGCAGGTTGTGCCCCGCACTTACCCACCGTTATCTGTTGACCTAAAAGTCTTATGCAGCGGTGACTGCAGGGTGACAATGCCTGGGACACAGAGCTTGAATGAGTTGTCCTCTTCCTCCATTTCCTCTTCCTTGCCTTTCTCCTCATCAGGCAAGCCTTCCTTGAGAGGAAACTGAGGGCACGCCGCGTCGCTGATCAGGTGAGGAGGACAGGGACCCAAGCCTGCAGCCCCACCCCCACCCCCACCCCCAGATAAAACAAAAAGCAGGAGGGTACAGCTCCCCAAAGGTTAAGAGGCCCAGCCAAATGTGGGGAAGAGCCCCACCCAGGCTTCATGCCCACCTACTGCCCCAGCCTGGTCCCACAGACCTTGGCCATGGCTGATTTCTGAAGCTGCTTGTACAAGGTGAGGAGGCGGTTCCAAGGAGTTGCCCCCACCTTCAAAGAGGCCAGCCTGAGGTCTCCTGTGAAGGGGCAGTGTCACTGACAGGCTGATAGGAACAAGGGGCAGCCCAGGCCTAGCTAGGCCCAGCAGGGCGGGGGGCACTGGGTGGGCTGAAGTGAGGGCAAGGTCCCTTGTTTCCTTAGCAAACACCTCCTATGTACCAGGCACAGTACTAGGCGCTCTGCAACGAGCATCTCATTGATTCCTTGCAACTGCACCTCTGAGATAGATACGGTTCCATTCTCATTCTATCCATAAGGAAGCGGAGATGCGGAACGGTTGAGCAACTTGGCATAGTGCAGTGGAATGGATTCAAATCCAGCCAGCCTGCCCCCAGCATTCCCTCAAACCATTCTGTGTCCTTCCAGGCCCCACACCCCTGAGGAGTCTGAGGAAGAGGGCCTATTTCTGGCACTGCCCCAATGCCTGTGGCCACCACACTCACCATCAAGCAGACACTCCTCCTCCTCTCTGGTGAAGGTCTTGGGGCTGACCTCCAGCGGCCGCATGGCCCTCTGTGGGCATCCTTGTTCCACCTCCAAGGCTTGGGCAAAGTGGCCCCTGATCCCAAAGCATAGTCAGATGGGGGTGGCAGGTGGAGCCAGAGATGTGGCAAAGGCTCCCTAAACCCCCCAAACCCCCCAAGGCCCACCCACAGGCCCTGCTCAGCCCCCTCCACCCTCCTGCCTCCAACAGTTCCCTGCTTGGTCCTCTGGGGTCTTCATCAGACAGGGGTGGGCCCCCATCCTCACAAAGAGTGGCGCCACATCCAAATGGGAGAGGGAGGCAGGAGGGAGAGAGTGAGGAGGGAAGGCACGGTGGAGAGGGGACCAGGAAGGAGCTGGGAAACAATGCAGTCTGGCTCGCCCTGGCGCCCTCCCCACCCCCAGTGCCCAGCCTGCCCCTCTCTCATCTCTGGTGCCTCCACCCACAACCCCTGACCTGTGGGAAGACCCACCCCATCTCTGGTTCCCTCCCCTCAAACCCCCCTGCCC